GGGGACATGCACCCTTGAGTTAAAGAACACTTTCTGTAACATATGAAGAACAACATGATCAAAATGTTGTCATCATTGTCTTGTTAGCTCATATATGCTTGTGTGACACTCAAGCACTGGACTAATGCTGTGGACTCCCATGGTGCTCTTGGTTTTGCTGGTGTCCTGTTAGTGACTGTTGCTGTTGCTTCTGGACTTGGATTTTGTTCTTTTGTCAAAATCAAATTTAATGCTGCCTCAACTCAGGTGGGCTATGGAATTTCTTTTGATTCAATTTAGACGGCATCTAATAGTTCCTTTAATCTTTTCATTCAATACTCACTTAAATTTTGTTGACCATTAGATCCTGCCATTTCTTGCTTTGGGTCTGGGAGTCGACGACATGTTCCTACTGGCTCACACATATGCATCTACAAGAGATAAAACCAAAGTAAGTGCTGAGTAGTCACGTCCCTGCAGTTATTTCCTTCAACTGAAGTTCCCACAGTACTGGCCATGGGTCCAAGTATAAGTGTTTGGAAATTAAAGTTTACCCTGTGACCTCAGTACTTGTGAAAGAAATGAGTAACATAGCCAGTAGTTGTTTTTTTAGCAGTTTGTAGGACATTTGCAAGCCCCAATACTTGGTCAATGGTAGAGAAGAGGCAAATTTTTGGTTGAGCTTATTGATTCCTTGTTGAAATTTACCTCAGTAAAACCATAGACACAAGCACTCAGTGATAGGAATGTTAAAGCTTGCAATATGTCTGCCAAACACAGGTGGCCAGACTGAAACTTCCCTAGCTTAGGTTCTACCCCTCTTATGGCAGCTAATATGGTAGCTTGGAACACTGCATTGTTTACAATCCTATGCATAAAGAGGATATTATTTTGCAAATTAGCAGAACATTTTTAAATACAATACTCAATTAGTGTTTGTCTTTTATAGGAACCTGCAGTATATTGTCTTGGGAGCACAGGTGTCAGTGTATTCTTGACCTCTTTTAATAACATGTTTGCTTTTTTCATGGCGGCACTCATACCGATTCCAGCCCTGAGGTCATTTTCTTTACAGGTCTGTGTGCAGATTTTCCCCTATTTTTGTTTGTTTGTTTTTGCCCTTTGCACAAATGTAAGTGACTCAACAGTTGAAAGATTTTAGATTTAAAAAAAAAGACTTTATTTAAAGACTTAACACTTAAACTTAATAGCGAAAGGCTAATAAAAAAAATAAAATTACAAACTATGAAGTACAAAATTAATGTAATATAATAATAGTTAAAAACATAAATTTATGAGAAGGTGTAGTCTGATCGTCCGGGTGAGTGTAGTCCTGAGAAGGACTGTTGTCGGTGGCAGTGACTGATGTTTCGACAACCTGTGCGGAAGTCATCATCAGAGTCAAGTGAGTGATTGTTGTCAGTAGAATTCTACTGTCACCCGGACGATCAGACTACACCTTCACATGTTACCCCCGGGTTCAAACCATTTACTGCATAAATTTATGAGAGACACAAATAGTTGAATTACATGAATATTAAAAACTTCTGTAAAGTATTGACACAATTAGATATAAATGTTAAATCCTAAAATGGTCTAAATATTGCTGCACTGTGAAGATTGTTTTAAATAAGTGAGTTTTTAAGGACTTACAGAGTCTGATTTTCTGATATTTAGAGGCACATTATTCCAAGGTCTTGTTGCTGGTACAGCAAAAGAATGGCCTCCTTCAGTCTTGCACTTATAATAAGGACAGATAGAATTATAGCTAGCATAGTGTGCTTCTGTCATGTTGTGTACTGTTAATTGTTCATTGAGATAGTTCAGCAGAGAGCCATTTACGGGCATATCATAAATAGCACATTTATTAATTTTACTCTGTTCATAAAAAGGTATCCAGAATTACAAGAGGTGAAGATGATATCTTCTTGTTTATATCTTGGGTCTCATTTAGCTTCTCATAAGTGGTCTTGTAAATGTACAGTTTTTCAATCACTTGGATAGTAACCACCATAATTCATTTTGTTTAATTGCAGGCTGGCATTGTGGTTCTGTTCAATTTTTTTGCTGTCATAGTCATTTTCCCAGCTATGATAGTGATTGACAGAAGCAGACGAAAAAGTGGCAAATACGATCTGCTTTGCTGCATTGAAAGGTTTGTTTGTTTATTCAGAAGAGCTGTAAAATTGTCAGTTTTACCAAAGAATACTTCTAGAAACTTTGCGGCTTGTAAGAGTTTCTTCAGTAATTCAGAGCTCCCTACAGTTCGGATTTTTGTAACACTATTGATACTACTGATTACAGTTCAGTGTGGTGGGTGGGTTTCCTGTGGTGTACAGACATCTCCATTGTGAAGACTAGCAATACTTGGAAAGAATTATGGAGAGGGATAAACTTTGGAAGTAATGACCCTATAGGAAGTAAATTAACACCTAACCTTGCATTTCTTTGTTCTTTTGAAGGAGGACAGAGCCTCAGAGAATTTCAATAACACCCAGTACAACAGGATATGGCAGTGATGTTATCCTTCACCGGTATCACAACTCTTGCAACTCTGTGTCAGACATTTCTGTGGTACAAGGTCTGAGTGGAACTGTTGTACTTCCTGGTAGTATCCAAGCAACTGCATCACAGACACTGCATTTCCCTAATATGGTGACAGTTCAGGCGTCAGCCTCAGCTGAGGTGGGTAACACCCCTTTGACTGAACGTCAGCGGCACAGAAGGGGGTGTGCCAGAAGAGACAAACAAACAAATGAATCAAGCGACTTTGAACTGTCTGCTTTGGGCAACATACATAGTAGTAATGGTGCAGGTAATGCAAAGGCTAATGCTGGTGCTTCAGCAAATGTTGTACAAGTTCAGTTGGCTGGATCCTTGGATACAGAACAGCAAGATAGCTATGATTTTAACACAAGGCCTTCAAGTCGCCAGAACCATAGTAAATCATTTGCAATATACTCAGAACAATCACGAGCTGACAGTTGCACCTGTGGAGAAGCAGGTCTTGATCCACAAGGTAGAAGACGCACTTACAAGAATCAGTCCAGAGACACTATCATTAATGAAAATGCCGTTGTGTTAGCTTCTAGAGGGGAAAGCAAGATGCGAACACTGCCACCAATGAACACTCCTAGAAATGTTCAGTTTCAGGTGTTGGCTAATGCTGCTTCGCATGGAGATTCAGACTTTATGAGGACAAGAAGTTCAAACTCACGATCATCACCAGGGCTTGATTCAGTGGGTAGAACCTCAACTGCTCAAAGCTTGTCAGAACCAGAATTGGAGTCAACCAGATGGAATGTAGTGAAAAAGAAGCTTCAGGTTCTGTCCCTGTCGTACTTTGCCAAAGAGTACTATGGCCCCTGGTTACAAAGAATGCCAGTCAAGGTGATAGCAGCTCTACTGAGTGATAACATGAACTAACTTCAACTCAATATGATTGAGGTTACTTTCACGGCATTACTGTTTGTGAGTAAGGCCCATCTTGCCTGCTTGGGTAGCCAATCAGAACATGGGATTTGCTTCATCTTGCCCATGGGTGCTGCCAGCTATATAATGAAGAATATTGTTGATCATCGCTATAAAGTTCAATTCGCTTAACTCAGATTACCGTATGTTCTCTTCTTTCTCAGATTTCCGTCCTGTTTGTGTTTGCTTGTGTACTTGCGGCTGGTGTATATGGCTGTTTGAAAGTGGAGGAAGGCTTGGACTTAACTGATGTAGTTCCACGCAAGAGCCCTGAACACAAGTTTGTGAAGGCACAGTTTGAATACTTCTCATTTTACCAGATGCAGATTGTTACCAAAGGAGGCTATGATTATCCTAATGGACAGGAGCTCTTGTACAAGTTTCACCGTGCTTTCAAGAAGGTAACAACGCCTTCTTAGGCATACTCTCACTTTTTGTGGTCGTACTTTTGTTTGATGTAATGAAAAAGATCTTAACCCGTGAATAAGTTAGAGTGACGTGTAACTATAAAAGCGAAACTCGTGTAAATAAGATGTTCAATATATTTCTGAATGAAAATCCTGTTACTTTGTTGCCACAATTTTCTTGAAGCAAAAACATGGCAACTTTTCCTTCTTGGCAAGCAGTTTATGGAAATCTAGTTTAGAATTTTTGAAGTTCTTTCACTCTTACAGTACAATAAAACCTGAAGGCTTAAAATGGCATAACCAATTAATTGAACTGCCCGTTTAAAATTGAAAATTTGATAAATGTTAAAAAAGTAAAATGCTTCTTGCTGTTTTTGGCATTCAAAGTGCCTTTTTTGTTTCCTCCAAACCAATGGCCTTTCATAAATCAAAATCTGGGATTTTGTCTTATGTGCAGGCACTCTTTCTCATGACGGGAAGATGGTTCACTTTTCTTTGGGTTTACAAGCACAATAAATGATTAGATTTTGACCAATCAGGGTGCATATTTTGTCTAAGTTGTGTTGTAACATTGAATATTTGGAGCTACATACAATTAGAAATGTGTGGTAGCTGGAAAGGAGGATTAATTTTGAAATCTAGGAAGTGAAAGAGAATTTGATCAAAGATATTTGTTTTAAACTATTTCTCATAGATTGACAACATCATAAAAACTCCAGAAGGGGAATTACCACCATTCTGGCTCATGTATTTCAGAGACTGGCTCTTAGGTATGTTACAAGGAAATCCGTCTTCAGCGGTAAAATTTACTAGGAATCATTTATTTTGTGTGTACCACATTCTGCTGTTGGTAGTACTATTATTTTTCCCCTGATGTGTTCTTTTTTTTTTTTTTTTGCATATTTGTTCAGAGTTGCAAAAGGCATTCGATAAAGACTGGGATGAAGGGACAATATCATATGAAGGATGGCACAAAAATGCATCTGAATATGGTGTGATGGCATTCAAGTTGTTAGCACAAACTGGAGAAAAAGAGATAGCAAACAAATCCATAGTATGTTTTAGCCTCTAATATTTTGTTTATGTAGTCTTGGATGCTCTGGGTGAGGGGAACCCTGAAAAGGAATGTTGCCTTTCATTGTGACTAAAATTTCAACAACCATAGTGGAAGTTAAGGTCAGAGTCATTCTGCAAAGAGTTGTTTGATGGCACAAGCATTATTTATTAGGCTGATTATGGAGACTGATCACTGAGTTTGCAGTGATATCATTGGCTCTAAGGCTATGTTTACAATTAGTCAGTTTTGATTTCTTGGTAAAGTTTTATTATTCTTTTGTGTGTTTTTTTGTTTGTTGAGTTAATGAGTTTGTTGTAAGGTGATTATGTTTGTTGACATTTGCTGATTAAGGAGTTTTCTAAGTTGGTGAACTGGCTTCCCCAAGGAAGTTTGTTCTCGTCAAAAGTGTGTGGGACTTCTACACCCAGATGGGATGTGTATTCTAACAGATAGCAGAGTTTGAATTGCAGTTTTCAAAAATTTATCCTCATAAAGTCACACTTCCTTCTAATTGCTCCCAATCAACAGGTTCGAAGTGTCAGGTTGGTCAACAAAGATGGTATCATCAGACCAGAGACCTTTTACAAATATCTGCTGGTCTGGTATAACATGGACCCTCTAGGGTATACCTATTCGCAGGTTAGTTGACTTGATAGGGAGGTATTACTCTGTAAGAGACACTTAAAGGAACTCTCTTTGGTCTTTTCAAAGATCCACATTCTTCCTCTATATAGACAGTAAACATTGTTTGAACAATGCAATCTGAATTTTCAAGATTATCATTAGGGTAGTATTTTCCAGCCTCGTTGACTAAGCTGACATTAGTTTTTTAAAGATTTTTTAGGCCCAGTATCATGACTTTCGTGTACCTGAGTGTGATAATTCCATTAAGAGTTGACTTGACAAGCCCTCTTTACGCAGGCAAATATCAAACCAGAACCAGAAGAGTCCTGGTATAATAAGAGAAGCACACAAGACTACACCGCAATGCGAGGTATAGTGAGGTTCTTGTAAGCTATCGTTCAACTCTGAAATTTTGTATGAATATAAAAAACAAAGGATATCTGATACTAGAGCCTGTACCAGTTTTCCATACCTTGAAGGGACAAAGGGTATTTCTAGTCTCCCCTGGGGGGGGGGAATGCTGGTTCATTGCAAGTTAACCCCCCCCCTCCCTGTATCTCTTTGTCATTGGTACGCTACATGTACCTATTTTGTCAAGTTCAATGTGCGCTATCCAATTTAAAGAATGTATGTGTAGAAGTAAACATCTCCAGTGGCCAGTAAGAACTCATAAACAAGTAAACAGCCTGAGTTGCCTTGTGTCTTGCTCAAGAATTCAGCATGATAAACTGTTTGGGGTGCAAAAACTTCCAGAATCTCATAGGCTGACTAGAAGACAGTCAGTTGCCAATTCACTCACTCTGTAGATGTTCAGTTAGTTATGGTTACCTTAATGGGGATAAAATAGTTATTTTATTTTTTTTAATTTTTTTTTTTTCAACAGTTGAGCCACCAGCACCTATGATCAATTTTTCTTACATCCCTTTCAAGTTGATCAATCTCCAAGAGACAAAAGACTTCATTAGTACTATCAAGGTAAAACTTCTTTACAACATGTAACTATGGTTTTATGTTGGTTCCAATACAACCTGATTTCAACTCAAAGATTCAACAAGGTGTACAATTCATGAAAGAGTAGAAATGACAAATGAAGTCCTGTCTTGAAGACCTCAACAAAACAGCTCTCCCCTCACACAGTTTTAAGTTCATTAGACATCTACCATTCAGTGTGATGTTGCACACTACGGTTTCAAAACCATGCCAGTAATCTGGAATATTAATTTTGTCATGGGGTGTTTAAGTTAGAAAGGTTACAGACCCACTAGTGTGTAGTTTAAGATATTATGTGCATTTTAAGTTTTGGGTTCTTATTCGTCTGAGGTAAAATACAATTTGTCTTTTTTTGCAGAGCGTTCGTGCCTTGTGTGAGGAATTTGAAAAAGCTGGCTTGCCTAATTACCCTAGTGGTATTCCATTCATATTCTGGGAGCAGTACATTTGGCTAGGGGAACACCTCCTGACTGCAGTTGCCATAGTTCTATCTGCAAGTTTTGTGGTTATGGCTGTTATTCTGTGCAACTTCTGGGCTGCAATGCTGATAGTAAGTACAATTATTTGGTACATCTGGGTATCTTCTTGGAAATTTATATTACAAAAAAATTTGGTCAAAGTTGGCATGTTCTCTATTTTACCGTTATGAAACTACTTTCCGAACCAAGTTTGTTTGGTCGAGATGTGTGGATAATGGCCTCATTCTAACAAAGTTGTTATGTATCTTGCATTAATCCTGGGAAATTTTAACCCTAAGTTGTTGACCTGTTGTACACATGTACATTTATAGCTCTATATTTTAACCTCCTTCCCAGATATAGCAAAGCAAATGGAAAGCACTGATAGACTGAATAATAGCATTCTTTCCAGCTCTCTCACTCTCCACCTTCACATTTCACAGGTGATTGTCTTGGTAATGATAACAGTGGAGGTGTATGGCTTCATGGGTCTGGCTGGCATCAAACTCAGTGCTGTGCCTGCGGTTACACTCATTTTGTCTGTCGGAGTTGGTGTAGAATTTACTGTACACATGTGTATGGTATGTATATTAGCAATATAATCTTTCTCTAAGACACTGCTAAGGGTTTAATGAAATGTTTTAACTAAGTGGCTAACGATGGAGGAGTAGGAGTATGAAATGGGCTGTACAAATTTTACAATAAAAGGCAGACACATTTTAATTTACGAGTTGCACTAATGATCTTGGTACTTATCGGTGTAGAATATTACTTATTGAGACCAGTGTGGCCGAAGGCTTTGAGACTTGTCCTAGTCCGACTTGAATCTAAAAATTAACTTTCTTTTGATTGCTTGTGACGATTGGCATTCCTGCTTGTTATGATTGAATTTCTTTCTATGCCCCAAAATAATAATAATAATAATAATAATAATAATAATAATAATAACAATGATGATAATCATGAAAATGTTACAAAAAACGAGATAAGTGAAAATTAAGCAGAGAAGCTTTTTACTTACACGTTATACCGCGTTGCGGTTCTTGCAGAAATTTTTGACGAGTACAGGCGACCGAAATCAGCGAATGCAGAGAGCTGTCGAATATGTCTTTTCCCCTGTTGTGGATGGCGCCGTCTCCACGCTTCTAGGTGTTATAATGCTTGCTGGATCAGACTTCGATTTTATTGTCAGGTAATTGTAATTAAAAAGGAACAAACGCGAATAACTTTGCTGTTCAAACGCCAACTAAGACAATCATGTGCGCTTTGAAAAATGGCGGTAAATATGATAATCAGGTTTTATTCCCGTCATACCCTGCGAAATATTCCTCTGTCAGATTTCCCGTATGCGAAGCCGTATCTACTCTGCTTGAGTTTTTTTTTTTT